CTATTTATTTCAAAACCCCCTTCCCCTCCCCCTTTTCTGATGAAGGGTCTAGGCCCGAAACGTCAGCCTCTCTGCTCCTATGATGCTGCTTGGCCTGCTGTGTTCATCCAGCCCTGCACCTTGTAATCTTAAGCAGTAGATGAGCAGACTTTCAGATTCATATGATTGTCACAGATTTCCATCAAATGTTGCTTGCTCCATTTCAATTTCCTTGGATCAGTGTGGGTAAGGAATATAGTGAACACAATTAAATTTGTATTCCAACGGTAGCAAAAAAGGCACTATTCTATTTTAATTGAGGAATTGAACTATCATAATACCCCCCACATAAGAATCCTTACTTTCCAAGGAAGAAATTGTATTCTCCTTTTGATGAGTATCACTTAGCCACATGTCTCACTCAGAGCACCGTTCAGAGCACCAATTACATTAAGAATTTATATTCTTCAGCTGATCCCAGAGTGGCAGGAAACAGATGTTTAAAGTTAAACTCGCCAAATCAAAAAAAAACAGGCAGCTGCCAAGAAATGTGTTGCCATCTGGGCCCTTATTATCCTGAAATGCAAGCCAACCAACCACAACCCAAGCTATAAATCTACTCAAAAACCTTACAGCTTTTTATTTTAAGAATTGTTAGGACAATTCTGCATGGTTCTTAGCTGAAACTGGATGTATAAAGCAGTTCTCCTTAACAATGGGAGAAAATAGTTTAGAATTATTAAAAATAGGTTCCCTCAGTTTAAGGAGTTTTGTTTAAAAGTTCCAGAAGTGTTTGGTTAAAACTGTGGAAGAGTTATTTGAAGCTGAGAAAGTTTACAATCATTTATATAATGAATCAAGGAAGAGTTGATCAGGGTCTCATGACCACAGCTAAGTCAAGCCGTGTGAGAGACAAAGATAGATATTCTCTCTGATGTTTGAGTACTACAATGGAATGCTGCTGGGATTAATGGGATTGCATTTTTACTGAGAGATTCATAATCTTTAAATGTTACGTTACATCTAAATAATTTCGTTTATTCTATTTTATCCTCACTTCTTTTGCATAATAAACATCAGTATAATTGTTAAAATCAAATCTGCAGAGTTGCACATGTGTAGTTCAGTGAAATACCACCTGTTAAAACCAAAAGAAATGATCTGCCAAGATTTCAGGCTTGGATCTGACTTGTCCAGTCATACAACATCTGACATCATAACAATATATACCAGGAGCAGCAGAGAGCTGAATACCAATCACTAGGGAACTCTATTATAAACCTTCCTCTGTCCAGATAAATGAACAACATGGTCTTCGATAAGCGAAATGGACAAAAAAATCTGCATACATTGAAATTAGAAGAAATTAAAAAATCAAATATTCCCCCCGGTTATATCTTTAAAACATGTTATTGCTTCATTACATGGATATCATTTAAATTGTGAAGCTGACTTCTAATGAGGTGCAGGAGAAACATTCTATGAATTCATTGCAATATACTCACATTAAAACTGAATTTAAAAAAACCTTTTTATGGTACTGTTGAACTGCTTTACAAATTAACTCTTTTCTGTCATGTTTCCTTTTCTTGTGTTTCCCAATTTTCTTTCTCTCCACTTCATGAGGGCAACAATTCTGTGTGGTTTGTGGATCTACTGGCACCGGGTGCCGTTTTCAAATCTTTCTAAAATTAGCACCTTTCAGGTGTGAGCCATAGCAACGCAGTATTGACAAGCTAAATAACTACAGGGGAATCACCGCAGAGCCTGACACTATTCTCACCCAAAGACCACACAAAAACACTTCAAAAGGACTCAGTGCTGGTCATCAGGGTGTCATGGCTGATTTTCAGTGTGCATCAGGGCCAACAGTAGCATGTGGCCTGATTGAGATCAACCAGTTCAAAAGTGGGTCAAATGTCTTTGATTTCTATTAGGGCAGTTGTACACTACTTTAGCCAAAAGGGCACATTGCAAAATTTCAGACACACGCTTGAGCCACAGCCATCTTATAGGTTTGCTTGAAAACACAGTTTAACATCAGTCGAATTTCATATCAGTACTTAAGAAATATGGTTGTGTTGTGAATAACAATGTCCTGTTTAATATCCTTATTTCAACTATTTAGAAAATCTCAGTTAAGTAGGGCTGCATTTTGTTGTAAAGGTTAACGTTGCAGACTAGTTATTAATGCTCAAAGTTAACAGCAAGTTCAACACAGAGATGTGAATATGAATTTCCAATATTTGCTGGCTGATTTACCCGGCTCCATCATTTATTGACATCTAACTCTTTACCTCCCCATTATTTCTAGGAACTTGATGGGTTTTTGCATTAACATGGCCCAAAAAACATTAGCCAAGGTCACATTTATGCTGAACAAACCATGACAAGAATAAGAAAGATTTTAATTTCACAAAAATATAACAGACAGACACAGAAGTATCAAGGACTCTTAAAATTGCACTATAAACACTGCAGTTTTATTGATTGGAGCTGAGTAACTTATGATTGTAATGGAACATTGACTACAAAGTGTAAGGTGTGAAACAAAGTCAATCTCTCACCTCTTAGGAGGTGTTTGTTAAAGATCAGAACATTTCATGATTGGCTCTCCATGAATCAAATTTACTTTTAATACTGGCGTGAACTATTAAACGAAAGGCATTCCTGTCAGTACTGACTAAGTTATGTCATGTGTTGATCTCTTTGGGGCGAATTTTCATCTCAGATAGTTTTGCAGTGGCTTTCTTGGATGTAAGCGGAGTCCTAGTGAGGATCAGGGAATGAAAAGAAGCATTAAATGTCATTGTATTCTCCAAGCTTTTGTACAGCTGACTATTGGCAGAATGTTTTTTGGGTATTAACTGTGTAGCTGCTATTCTTTCTTTGCAAAGGCCTGGCTCTGTGCTGTGCTTGGTTTGACTCTGTTCCTCTGAAGAGACTCCAGCTGAATGGTTGCTTGACTGCAGATTACTTTTAAGTTTAGCCTTGGCAGAACTCAAATGTTGTACAAGTGAAATCTCTGGGAGTGGCCTTTGAGAAAGCAGTGACCTGAACCTCTGAGAAGCTTTAGTGTGATATAGAGTAGAATCTAATGTTGGTATAAACTCTAAACTGGTCAGAACTTTTATCTGGGGCCTGTTGTCAGCCTTTTGAGGCCGTTTAAGAATGGTTGCTCTCTCTGAAATCCTGTACTCAAGCCTTGTCTTAAATCTCTTCTCAAATGGCTCTTTTGGGGAACCATTATAAAGGAGGACAAATTCTTTCTGTGCCTCCAGTGGCATGATGTACAGTCCTCGAGAACACTTTGTGAAGATCTCAAATACCAAACCTAATAACAGAAAGAGAGAGAGAGAAGAAAAATATAATTGAACAGCTATTCCATTATTCATAAAGAAATGTTATTTTGCATGCTTGAGCTGTCATCAATTTATACAAATATCCTTCTGTAATTCTACATAAAGATAGAAATGGCCATCTTACCAAGGGCTTCATTCATTACTTTGGGAATGACTGATTTGAGAATCTCACAATTTATCTGTAAAGATGGGTTTGAGTTGATCTCAAGCAACCAGACCTATAAAGCAAATCCAAAGAACATGTCAACCCTCTGAATGCAATTTTCATTTAGCCTCATCATAGAAAGGCCTGTCCCATGTTTTAGGTATATAACTGAGCCATTCAAATCAGAAGCACAGAGGAATGGTGTGTGTGTGTGTGTGTGTGTGTGTGTGTGTGTGTGTGTGTGAGAGAGAGAGAGAGAGATGAGAAAAAGAGAGAGAAAGAGACAGGGGTGGGGAGAGAGATAAATAGGCTGGTCAAATCTTTATCATTCATCAGGAGAAGTTTTTGGATGTTCAGAGGGGGTTGTAGATTGACGAGTATGAAGCAAATTTAGAGGGAACACTGGTGCAGAATTAGTTGATCTCAGTTCGGTTTGGGTAGGAACGGGTAGAAATGGTGATAGCAGGGGTTAAATAAACCACTATGTGAGAAAAGTTAATTTACATTCCTGATATCTTCTCCTGATCATTTTTTACTTGACTCTAGAATAGATGTCACTTAAGAAAAGCTTTGTTCTGATGCTATCAACAATTGTGAAGCTATGTTCTCCCATTGAACAGGATTGTGTGTGTTTTGGGCGGGGACCTCGACATTGAAGTCAAATGTAGTCCTGACCCCACACTGTACCCTTCCCTTCCATCTTAAGGTTGGTGGTGGGGTTGTTTACTGATGTGATGTCACAATGCAGCAAGACCTGGACAACAAACACGGAGAACGCTGGAGAAACTCAGCTGGTCTGGCAGCATCTGTGGAGAGAGAGACGGAGTTAACATTTTGAATACAGTACGACTCTTCTTCATTTGTTCAAAATGTCACAAATGTTTGAGAAGTAAAATGTATCAATAGATAAGTACCTTGTTAGAAACAATCAATCAGCAGGGAGAAGTGGTTGTCACACACATCTTAAAATATCATAATTCATCTCGGCACATACAGTTTCTCACAGACAATGCTATATCCCACAGGGGTGTTCCAGTGTACTGGAGTAGTTAGCAGATCCATTCACTACCTCCCATTCTCTTTAATCTCATTTTTACTTTCACTCTTTAAACCTTCCAACCATTCATTATTTTGTGATAGAGTACATCTTGTTTCTTCCATCCTCTTCAGTTCTTTTACTAGCCCACACCATAAGCTTTCACAGTCAGCTGTGACTTCTCAATTACAGCACATTACAAATCAGGTAAAACACCAAAAACATGACAGGAATTAGAAAGGGTGTGCATAGGGCTGTCCTTTAATGAAAGTCAAAATCTTGCATCCATTTGGAATCTTATACACCTCACGACGTTTCAAAGCAATTCTGAGTCAAGTATCACTTTTGAAGAGTAACCACTGCCATAATATATAAACAGAGAGATATAAATAGAGCCAGGTCCCTTTCTGCACCAGCTAAAAAAAAATGTTTTCATCTCTATATATATTTCTTCCCTAAAAGTAAGATTTCAAAATTGTGAGATTGGAAAGAGGTGCTTGTACATTGATATTCACTGCCAGAAGTTCCCCTTTGGTAAGGGACCATTGCTAGGGTAACTGCTATACTGATAGAATTGTGAGTTGTGTACTGTATTGACAGACAAGAATTCATTATACATAGTATTTAGTTCATTGTTTGTCTTATTATATTGTGGTCAGGTCACAATAGAGAAAATGTGAGCTAAAAGGTAAGAGAAGAAACAATTAGATGCTTGGATTTTAAAGAAACAGTCATATATATCAATGAATGCCCACTTTGGCATGACCAGAAAGCTGAGTTATCTTGGAATAGCAACTTATAGAGAAACTATTCCCACTGAGGTTACTTGGTACAATTCCGAGTTTGGACCATTCAATTACATTCTCAAATAAACTTTGGGGAAGGGAAAATGAGGCGTCAACCCAGTGAAGCTTCCAAACAGAGCTACATGTGCCCCAAACAGCGAAAGCAGCAAGTGATAGACAGCACTAAATGATCCCACAATCAAGGGATCAGGTGTAAGCTCTGCAATCCTTGCCACATCCAGGCAGGAACCATGGTGAACAATTAACCAACTCACGGAGGAAGAGGCTTCACAAATATCCTCATCCTCAATGATGGAAGGTAGATACCAGTCTTCAGCCAATTTGATTCACTCCACGTGATATCAAGAAACAGTTGGAGACACTGGATACCGCAAAGGCTATGGGCCCTGACAACATTCTGGCAATACTACTGAAGACTTGTGCTCCAGAACTTGCCCTATCCCTAGTCAAACAGCTCCAGTACAGCTCCAACACTGACTTCTACCCAACAATATGCAAACTGCCCAGGTATTTCTTGTACACAAGAAGCAGGACAAATCCCATCCTGGCCAATTACCTCCCCATCAGTATACTCTCAATCATCAGCAACATGATGGAAGGTATCATCAATAGTGTATCAAACAGCACCTGCCCCGCAATAATTTGCTTATTGGCACCCAGTTTGGGTTCCGCCAGGGCCACTCAGCTCCTGACCTCATTGTAGCCTTGGTCAAACATGGACAAAAGAGCTGAATTCCAGAGGTGAGGTGAAAATAACAGCCCTTGATATCTTGGCCGCATTTTACTGAGTGTGGCATCAAAGAGCCCGAGTAAAACTGGAATCAATGGGTAACGGGGACAAACTCTCCATCTGTTGGAGTGATACCTGGCAAATAGCAAGATGGTCGTGGTTGTTGGACATCAATCATCTCAGCTCCAGGATATCTCTGCAGGAGTTCCTCAGGGTAATGTCCTGGCCCCAACCACCTTCAGGTGCTTCATCAATGACCTACCCTCCACTACAAGGTCAGAAGTGGGGATGTTTGCTAATGAAAGCACAAGGTTTACTACCATTGACGACTCCTCTGACTGAAGCAGTCCATGTTCAAATGCAACATGATCTGGACAATATCCAGGTTTGGCCCGACAGGTGGCAAGTAACATTCATGTGACACAAAAACCAGGCTACGACCATCTCCAAGAAGAAATGCACCTTGACATTCAATGGTGTTACCATTACTGAATCCACCACTTGCAACATCTTTGGGGTTACCATTGACCAGGAACAAAGCTTGTCCCATAAACACAGTGGCTACAAGAGCAGGTCATAGGCCAGGAATACAGCAGCGAATAACTCACCTCCTGACTCCTCAAAACCTGTCCACCATCTACAAGGCATAAGTCAGAAGTGTGATAGAATACTCTCCACTAGCCTGGATGGATGCAGCTCCAACACCGAAGAAGCTTGACACCAAATAAGGCAAAGCAGCTCGCTTGATTGACACCAAATCTACAAGCGTCCACTCTCTCTCCCACCGTTGCTCAGTAGCGGCAGTGCGTACTATCTACAAAAGCTATTGGTACTCTAGTCATTCAATTGGCCTTTTCTGATCATCTGTCAGTGGCAGACTGTCTGACCTAGCCTTAGAACCTGCATTAACGCTTGCTGCTCTGCACACATTCCTAATTCAAACATTCGACCTGTGAGATCCTGATTCCCACGTTCCTCACCAAAGAGACAAAGTAATCTGACCCCTTGAAGAGTCTTTCTCCTCATGTGTCACCTCTTGCTGATTTATGCTCTGTAACCTGGACACATCCCTCTCCTATTTTGTCAGAGTGAGTTTTTCTGAAGTGGTGCATTTGGAAGTAAGGGGTGAGTGCTGATGTCTGTGTAGCCAAAATTCCAGGCTCTTTTCCAGCAACATTTAGAGGAAGAAAAGTTACAATGATTGCTTGTCTTAATTTGACTTGTAACAAGTCCCATGGGGGTTTCATGATATGTTTGTTGATAGTTAATGCCGGATATGATCAGGTGAGAAGGAAGATAAACAAATCATAAGACCATAAGATATAGGAGCTGAATTCAGCCATTCCGCCCATCGGGTCTGCTCTACCATTCGATTATGGCTGATAATGTTTCTCAACCCCATTGTCCTGTCTTCTTCACGTAAGCTTTGATATCTTTACTAATCAAGAATCTGTCTCTGTCTTAAACACACTCAATGACTTGGCCTCCACAACCTTCTGCAGCAATAAGTTCCACAGATTCACCACCTTCTGACTGAAAAAATTCCTCATTTCAGTTCTCAAGGTATGTCCCTTCACTCTGAGGCTGTGCCTCAAGTCCTAGTCTGCTCTATTATGTGGAAATATCTTCTCCACATCGACACCATCCAGGCCTCTCAATATTCTGTGAGTTTAAATGAGATAGCCCCCCCTCATTCTTCTAAACTCCATCAAGTACAGACTCAGAGTCCTCAACCACTCCTTATATGACAAGCCCTTCATCTCTGTGATCATTCTTGTAAATCGCCTCCAGACCCCCTCTAACGATAACACATCCTTCTTTAGCTACAGGGTCCAAAATTGTTCACAATATTCCACAGTCTGACCAAAGCCTTATACAGCTTTAGCAGTACATCCCTGCTCTTGTATTCTAGCCCTCTCAAAATGAATGTTAACATTGCATTTGCCTTCTTAACTGCCAACTGAGCCTGCATGTTAATCTAAAGAGAATTCTGAATTAGAACTCCTAAATCCCTTTGTACTTCAGATTTCCAAAGTCTTTCCCCATTAGAAAATAGGTTAGGCCTTTATTCTTTCTACCAAAGTGCATAACCTTTACAGCAGTAACTGCCACATTCTGGAGTTTATAGCTCGAAAGTCTCTATGAGAAGCTGCAAAAGTAGGGTAAATGTGTAAGATTGAGTAGGGTGGCAAATAAGTGTGGGTGAGTAACGTGATAGGTAAATAGGTGAGTGGGTAAGGTGCCACATAGCTGTTTTGATAGGCTGAACGGTCTTTTATTTTTTATTTACAATTTATATAGATGACTTGGAGCTGGGGACCACATGTAGGGTGTCAAAGTTTGCACATGACACTAAGATGAGTGGCACAGCAAAGTGTGCAGAGGACTGTGAAACTTTGCAGAGGAACATAGATACATTGAGTGAGTGGGCAAAGGTCTGGCAGATGGAATACAATGTAAATAAACGTGAAGTCATACATTTTGGTAGGAGTAATAGTAAAAAGGATTATTACTTGAATGGTAAAAAGTTGCAGCATGCTGCTATGCAGAGGGACCTGGGTGTCCTTGTGCATGAATCACAGAAGGTAGGTCTGCAGGTACAACAAGTAATTAGGAAGGCAAATGGAATTTTGTCCTTCATTGCTAAAGGGA